ACTCATTTCCCCACTCAGCACAGACCATGGACAATCTCCAGAGCTTCCTCTCGTTCCGGCGGGGTTGCAGGCAGGAGGGATGGGCGAGTGTGAGTCCCGGCAGCCCCGGGACCCTGCTCTGCCAAGGTGTGCCCCTCCCATTGTGCCCCAGCCCTGCAGGCTAGCACAGCATCCATCCTGGCCAGCCGTGGCCAGGCAGCAATCCTGCCAGCAGCACGGGGGTGCAGCGTGTCAGACACATCCCCACAGAGAATTCCTGCCTTTCTGGAAGCTCTGAGCAGATGGTCCAGGCTGTGGAGCTGTTGTGACAGCCAGGCTGAGCTGCCCAGGATTAACCAGGAGGCTCCCCGGGACTGGTGGGCGGCGCGGGGCTGTGCTCACGGCAGGCTCAGGGGGTGCCTCACCTCTCCCCGCCGAGCCTGTGCCATCCAAGTGCCCATCTCTGGCCATTTGGGGGATGATTCTCCTCTGGAAGGTTTTATTTTTCAGTTTAAAAGGAAAGAAAGTTCCCACGCTGTGTCAATGCCATGGAGAGGGGAGCAAGTCCTCTCCCAGGGACGAATGTCCCATGGTGAAAGGAGAGGATCTGTGTCCCCTTATACCTGGGAATAGCCAGATTTTTGCTCCTGTTGTGTCCTTGCTGCTCGCTGGGTGCTCACTGGGCTCCGGGTCTCTCCTGCCATGGGGGCTCCTCACCAGTGCTGGGGCACCTCTGGATTTTGGGACCTGTGTTGGGATCTGTTTGACAAGTGGCCAGAGCTCGGGACCACCTGCAGATCCCTGCCAGACCCCCCACATTTGTCCCAGGACATGCAGCAAACCAGGCTGGAGCAGAGTGATGGAACGGATGAAGGGGATGGGGCTGGGACAACCCCCTGGCAAGCTGTGGTGGTCTGGGGCTACCTGCCAGTCTCTGGACCAGGGAATAAAATGTCTGGGAATGGAGGCTGTGAGCCCTGGGCACTGCAGCTCCCCACTCCTCGTGTGGGGCTCTGGGCAGAAGCAGGAGCACCAGCCCATCACTGCTGTGGGTCACTGACAACCCACAGCCAGGGCAGATCTCTGACCAGTGCAAACACCACAGGTTTGTTCCTAGTGGAAACAGCAACTCATCCTCCAGGCAGCCTCCATGTGCTGGTGGTTTATCTTTAACAGGAAAAGCCTGGAGCAAAGGCATAAAGCAAGAAATATTTAATTCCACAGTGTCGGTTTGCACCGTATGTTTTCCACTTCATAAATATTTCAGGCGCTTGTGCTCCAAAAATGGGCTCTGTCTTCTGCAGGTTCGTGTGCCTGTGCTCCCCCACACGAGGCTCCTCCCAAGGCAGTGGTGGATGAGAGCTCCAGGACATGGCTGGCACTCAGAGATGTCCAGAACCCCTGTGGCCACCCAGGACTGGGGAAAGGGCAGACTGGCACACTCAGTGTCCTGCATAATGCGACATCACCCAGGGGCTGGCAGCAGGGTGCTCGATATTTATGTGTACAGATGGTTTTGGATGGAGCTTTAGCACCCCCTGTGCCTGGCCACCCCACCGGCTCTCCGGGCTGGGCTGAGCCCAGCACAAGGGAAGCTGCTGCTGGGTGGCACCACAAATCCCCTCTGCTCCTCTGGATGCATGGCCAGGTTTGGGAAATGCTGTGATGGCCAGCAAGAAGATCCCAGGGCTGTCCTCACCTTATGGCCTTCCTCACACACAGACATACCCAGTAACGTATATATATTATATTATATTTTATATATATATATATTTATATATATACACATGTTAACAAAGAAGTTGCAAAAAAACCAACAAAAAGGGAAAACCCAACAGGAAGAACAGCCCTCCCCCCAAGTAAAATGGAAGCAGGAATGTTACAGGTGGGAGGGGAGGCTGAGGGAAGCCAGGAGTCCACACATCCCGAACTTGAGCACTGGTGTCACCAGGAGCAGAGGAACCAGCAGCAGCACGCTGAGCCCCCCTCCATGTCCTAAGCAGGGCCCAGGGATGGGGCTGCTGCTCCCCAAATCATGGTGACAACTGGGTGGGCTCTGCTTTCAGTACCACAAGAGGACAATGTGGGTGACTGGGAAAGGCCCCAGCCCCTGCTCAGGGTGTGGGGCTCCCCCAGCCCCGTCTGGCCGGGTATGAGACACGTGTGGGGGCCAGGGGTTCCCACAATTAGTGCAATTTCATCAGGTGCAAATGTCACGTTAAGGGCTCATGGTCTCTGAGCTGAGGATGCTGAATGCTCCCAGTGCCATCCTCAGCACTGCCAGGGCCAGCATCCCCCTCCAGTGCCTGGATCCTCTGGGGTGACACAGGATCAGCAGCCCCATGGGACCAGCACGGACTTCCATGAGACCTCCCCATGAAAAACATCCAACTTAAAAGGGTGATTTAGCCTCCCAAAGTGACACGGGGCCATGAGCCAGGCTGTGGGGACGGCAGGCGTGCCCTGCTGACCCTCCCTGAGCTCCAACACTCCGGGCTGGGAGGAGCAGAGCTGCTCCTCTGCTCAGGAGGATCAGGAGGAGGCAGAAGGAGGGTGTATCCCCTGTGCCCTGCCAGGCACCATGGGGAAGCAGCCTGGATCAGAGGGAAACCCCTCTCAGCTTGGCAGGGCTGGTAGCAGATCCTTCCCCAAGGTGCTGCCCACCTCCCTTTTCCAAAAACCACAGCCCAGACACACAGAGATGGCATGGGAACACTCTCCTCCTGGGCAAAGCTGTCACCACCACACTCACCAGTTACATCCCCTTGGCCAGCTCACTGGGAGGGGGCACCAGATGAATTCTGAACTGGCTCCAGATGAATTCAACCTGTCTCTGGCACAGCCCCCGTGGGCTGAGCCCCAGGAGCCCTGCCCAAGCCAGCCACTCACTCCCAGAGCCTGGGCTTTGGAATCACAGGTAGGCTGAGCTGGAAGGGGCCCATCAGAATCACTGAGTTGAACTCCTGGCACCCCAACAACCCCACCCTGTTTTTGGGAGCATTGTTCAAATGCCCCTTGACCTCTGGCAGCCTTGGGGCCATGACCATTCCCTGGGGAGCCTGAGCAGTGCCTGACCACCCCCTGAGAGAAAAACCTTTTCCTGACATCCAACTTAACCCTCTCTCGACTCAGCTCCAGCTGTTTCCTTCAGTCCTGTCACTGGCCACAAGAATGAAGAGAGGGGTACCTGCCCTTCCACTGCCCCTTGGGAGGAGCTGAAGATGACAGAGGCCTCCCCTCTCTTCTTCTCCAGCTGAACAAACCAAGTGACCTCAGCCACGCCTCACAAGACCCCTCCAAACCCTCCTCCATCCTCACAGCCATTATTTGCTCACTCTCCAATAGCTTCATGCCTTTTTAATATTGTGGTGTGCAAAACTGTCTTCAGGGCCCAAGGCGAGGCTGCCTCAGTCCAGAGCAGAGCATGACAATCCCCTCCCTGGCCCAGCTGGCCTGATGCCCCCAGGACAGGGATTTCCCTCCTGGCTGACTGAGATCCAAGTGGCCATGGACCAGCAGCCCTTCCCCAGCTGCTCTGCAGCCTCTTGTCTCCCAGTTCATACACACAATTAGGGTTCCCCAAGCCAGGCACAGAACCTACCACCTTCCCTTGTTAAACTTCACATGGCTGGTGATTCCCCATCTGTCTCATTTGTCTGGGTCACTCTGCAGGGCCACTCTGCCCCTGAGAGAGTTGGCAGCTCCTCCCAGCTTAGTGCCGCCAGCAGACTGATTTAGTATCCCTTCCAGTCCTGCATCCAGGCTGTTAATGAAGATGTTGAAGAGCACAGGGCTGAGGATGGAGCCCTTCAGAACCCCACAAGTGACTAGTGCCAGCCTGATGTCACCCTTTGTGCCTGACCCATGAGCCAGCTACTCAGCCACCCTGTGATGTGTTTATCCAGCTGTGGGCTGGACATTTCATCCAGAAGGATCCTGTGAGAGACTCCTAAAGCCTGCTAGAGTCTGAAAAGATTCCACCTCATGGTTTCCCTGGATCAGTCAGGTGGATCACCCTGTTGTAGAAGGAAATCAGGTTCAACAAGCAGGGGTAGTTCCCTATCAGCAAGCTCCACAGGGAGAGGCTGGCAGAGCTGGGAGGTCCCAGCTCAGTGGTCTCCAGTCCCACTGAGTCACCACATCTAGAGGAGCAAAAGGGGTTTCAAATGTCACAGAGCAAAGGCCAAGCATCAGCTGCCTTGGGCTACCATAATGCCTGAAATCCTTGCCCCCAGTGTCCCAGCCACTCACGTGCCCACTGGCTCCAAACTGTGCCACAGACTCCCATGGTGGCAACAGGGATTGTGTGCCAGCCCAGCTCCTCCTGCCCTCTTAAAAAAATCTGGAGACTGGAGCTTGGCCAGGGGACTTGATGCTTGTGGTTACTGGGAATACTGGAGACAGCCAAGGAGCTCCCAGTAGCCAGGGTCTCTGAGCCTCTGGGACACTCAGTCCTCTGCCACGGAGTGAACAGGATGGCTCCACACTCACAGCACAGAATCATGGAATAGCTTGGGCTGGAAGGGATCTTTAAAATGCACCAATCCCCTGGCATGGTGGAGAACAAACCAGAAGTCAAGATTCAGTGTCATAAATTGAGATTTTGGGTCATGGAGCATAGAGGTAGTCTTTGAGCAGGACTCTACTGTGGGCTCAGAGTAGAAAGATGAGTTTCTGGTTTCTGCTGCTGGGACACCAGACAGGACACTAACGGAGACCTATGTGGGGCAGGGCACTGCTGGCCAGACCCTGTGCTGGGAAGGAGCAGCTGCCAAACCTCTGTGCCAGGAGCCAAAGCTTCTCAAGGATGCAGGCCTCCCCAGTTACTGGTAAGCTCTCAAAGGAGGAGATGGTGGGCTGGGGGGTCTGTGGCTCTCCATTGCAGGACCCCAAAAATTACCAGGAGCATGCCATCTGCAGCACAGACAGCCACCAGGAACACCCTCAGTGCCCTCTGCACTTCCACAGACCAGCACCCTCCCTCCACAGGACCACCATCCACCACACCACCACTGCCAGTGTCACCGAGCCCGAGGGCTCCAAGCCTTTTCCACCCCACCAGGGAAGCCACCTCAGCCACACGGAAAGTGTCCTCCCCAGAAAGTGCTGCTCAGTGCTCTGGTCCCTACACCAGCTGTCAGCAGGCTCCAGAGCCCACCCCTCCTGTCCCAACCTCGTGGTACGCACGAGCCATTCCCTGACCACCATGGCACCTCAGGTCACCCTGAAACCTGCCCTGGCCTTTCCACCCCCCAAGGGAAGACAGAACCATCGGGGTGACAATCTTCTTGGGGAGAGATGGGAGCAACCACCAAAGAGCTGCCCCAGCCACTCCTGCGCACCCTGGAGCTCACCAACAGCAGCTGATTTCCAGCTGTGGTTCGAGGTTCTTCCACTTTTTCCATGACAGTAAGATGGAGCTGGGTGTGGATGGTGCTCGACTGCTCGGGCGCCGCAGTGGCTCTCTGGCACGGCTGCCAGCGGGCACCACCGGCACGGCAGCGCTGCCACGGGGCACGGGCAGGCCTGGGCAGCCTAGTGACAGGCTTTCATTCCTGACACGTACGGGGACTCCTGGGGCCGGCAGTTACACTCCTGCTGCTCGGGGTAATCGATGAAATCCGGGGCAGGCAGCCCCGAGAGGATCATCAGGGATTTGTTCCAGATGGTGAAGGTGGGACACACCGGCAGGATGAAGGAGACTTCGAAGGTGTGGAGGTGGAGGGAGTTGGCCGGGTCGTAGAAGGAGAGAGCGTTGTTGTCGTAGTCCAGGAGGACACCGAGGCGCTTCATCTGCGGGTGCACCTCCACCAGCATCTCCTTGTTGTTGTGCCGCACCACGAAGTTGTTGTTGCAGCGGGAGAAGACCCAAGAAGAGGAGTTCTTCCCAATCCACTCGTTTTTGGGGGCTGACTTGTACGCCACGCCGATGGCATACCTGCAGGAGAGGAGAAGCTGTGCTCAGCCTCAGCACAGCACCAAGCCCAGCCCTGGCTGCTACAGCACCCCGTGCTTTCAGAGCCCACCTGCTGTAAAAGGGCACAGGGTGGGCACCTCTGGCAAAGGCTGGACTGGAAAAGCATCCCCCACACGCAGGTGGTGCCTTACCAGGTGGAGGATCCCACCACCACCTCCCAGTAGTGGCAGCCACTGTCGATGAAGACGTTGCCGGCCGCGCCGTAGCAGCCGGTCCCGCTGAACCGCTCCGGCGTGTGGCTCTTCTTCAAGGAGCTCTCGTCCTTCTCCATCTGCAGCCCGTCGTTGGAGATCTTCAGCTTCTTGTGAGCCATCTTGGGGTCCAGCTTGAATGGCTGACCTGTGGGGAGGAGACACACGGATTAGGATTTGTGTTATTAGCATCACGGTGCAGGAATGATGCTAATAACACAAATTAGCATAATTTCTTCTGGCGGGGCTTCTTCACATCCCGTGTTCTCAGCTTTGCATATTTAATGGTGGTTTGCTTGGGTGTTTTCCCCAAAACCAGAGCAGATCTGGCTGATGTCACAAAGCTTCAACCAACCTCCTTTTTTTGTTCATGATTTCCCTCTGAAAGTCCCACACCATCCCTGGATTTGCAAACAAAACCCCAAGATGCTACAAAGAAGCAAATTGAGTTCAGGTGGGTTTTGCTGCTGTGTTTTCACAGGAGATGCAGTAAAACAATAAAGTGCACACAGACACTGGAGAGCATTTCCATGGGGATTCACCTGCTTCAGGACAAAGCAAATGACAGCTGCAGAGAACACCCCAAGTCCTGCCAATGCCTTCAGCCTCATGTTTTGGTACCCAGCTCGGGGCATGACTAGCTGCGTCCTCCTTCACACGCCCATTTCTGGCTACAGACACGGTCCCAGCAAGAAGAAACAATGACACCACCACAGCAACTGGGTGCTGAGCCTGGGCTGGAGACCTCCAGAACAGCCAGGAAACACACAAGGAGAACCCCAGGACAGCTGGGAACGTCTGCAAAGAGCTGCAACATCAGCAACCATTGCAGCTGCAGAGCAGAGCTCATCTGTGCTGTGCTCTATAACCTGATGGTAGCTTGTGCTGGTTTTCCTTGGAGCCCAATTTGCTGAATAATTGAGTTGAGAAGCCTGAGAGTAAAGCTGCAAATTGGGAGTGACCTGCCCCCTCCTTCTTCTGGCTGCTCTGATCTTTCTGCCATATCTTTTCCTGGCAGTAATGCAAAGAGACAAGCTCTGAGGAAGTGAGGTATAAAAATACTTGGCTCCATCAGGAGAGAGACACTCACAGCTCTCTTTCCGAAGGCAACCCCTTGCTAAGGTCAGTGTGAAGAAGTGGAGCCCAGCCCTTATCACTGGTTTGTGCTGCCATGTCGTGGAGCAAGTGCTTGAACTGCATGCACAGGCAGTGAGTGTGAAGGGCAGGCTTGGAGGGTATTTCAGAGAACACAGACAGGCACCTGCTACCCTTCCCAAAATCTCACTCTGGCACTGGGAAAAAATACAGACTTCACAGAGGTCATAATGGTCCTAACCTCAACCCCCCAGCATGGGAGATGCCAGAGGAAGGTGGGCTCTTGACTGCAGCCTTCACTCCCTGCTCCCCCACCATCAGCAGCCTCTGTGCCTCCCAGTCACTGTCTCCAGCCCTCCAGCTCTGCCCTGCAGGGAGCCAAGGCTTGCAATAACTCCTCTCATCATTAACATTTCCTCTCATCATTAAGGTGCAGCTCCTGGGCTGGTCACTCAGATTACCTTTATCCCACAAATTCAGCTTGCTGGGATATTCCTCACAGCCTTTTGCTGGTCATCCCTGCATGAAGCTTGGGGGCTGTGGGGAAGTAGCTGCCTTCAGGGCTGGACACAGCTGGCTGCACCCCTGGAGCATTTACCAGCTGGATCAGCTCTCCCTTCCCCGCAGAGCCAGAGTGGAGCAGAGGAAATCCTGTCTGGCACTGGGTGTGAGGGAGCAAAGGGGAGGCAGCCAGGAACATGGTCAAGGTCAGTGGAATGTGGGGATGGAGCCAGGCAGAGGGAGGTGTGTGCTGGAGCTGCATCCCCACCCTGCAGCACCCCAGACACCCTCCCTGCTCCACTGGACCTCACAGGGCTCCTGCACCCATCACAGCTCCTGTCACCCACCCAGAGGGACAGCAAGGACAGGCTGCCTGCTGCCTTACGTAACAGCTATGGAAATTACTGGAATGAGATCCCCAGGAGCAGGAGAAGACATCCAGCACTCAGCCAGATCCAGGACCAGCAGCCCAGCCCACTGGGGTCAGTGCAGGGGTGCCCCCGGTGCCCTGCAGCACAGCAGCTCCTCTGTGCCCCACTCCTCTGGCTGCAGGGACACAGGCATGGGTGGAGAGGGTGGACAGCTGGTGACTGTGTTTGGCTCAAAATGTGTGGAGAGAAAGGAGGGATGGGTATGAACTCTGCACCCAAGGATGCTGCAGGCACCCACCACGTTCTGCCCAGAGAGCAAAGAAAGCTGCAGGGACACAGGGACACAAAGCCAGCCCTTCCTGCATTCTGTCCTTCCTCTCTGCCTGCAGTGGCAGTGTGCCTATGCCCCCCAGCCATCCAAGATGCCACCTGTGGGGACAGGACACCCACAGAGCACAGCTGCCAGCACCATCCTGTCTTCCCTGAAGACATCACCTTTGGCAGAGAAAGAAACAAAGATGCAGCACTGTACTGCTGAGTCATCAAGTCAGGAAAGCCATAAATCCATCTAAATTTTCACAGATTCCCTGCTGGGAAGCTTCTGCAGGACTCATCCTGCCCTTAAAAACACCTGCACTAACATGATTCAGTCAGCAATAGTGATCTTGCAGCCCGTTGCTCAGGTATCAAACCCACTCCTGACATCTCACGTGGGATGTGGATGGAGCCATCCTGTAGCACACTAAGGTCTTGCCAAGATATGCAGAAATCAGGAAAAGCCAGAATTGTGAAGGAAAATAAGACCAGGATGCAGTGGCCAAGGCAAGGGCTGTAAAACACATTTCCCAGCACTTTATTTATGGCCAGAGCAGGGGCTGTCCCTGCATTCCAGCACTTTCAGCTACTTTTGGACACTTGTTCCTAAGTAAGTCCTGCTCAGGCCCAGCCTCAGCAGAGGATGGTCTCTCTGTCACTAAACCAAACCTGTTCTCAAGCTTCTCTGCTCAGGGATGCAGATTTAGTGCCAGCACTGACAGCGCTGATGCTGCAGAAATCGATGTGTCCTGACACTGACCTTCTGGTGATGGAGAGATCTCCCCAGACATCCCTTCAGGAGCAGAACTGGCTGTGAAATATGTTAATGGGCCCTTTCTGTGTTGAGCTGCTGACACTTCCACCAAGGTTACAGCAGTGGGAAAGCATGGGTGTGATATCTGGATATTGTCCACAGGAAAAGGAGAAACCCTGGTCCCAAAACCAGCAGGAGCAAAGAGCCACTGGACACTCAAAGGAGCCCTCGTCCCCTGAAGCTGGCCACAGAAGGAAATAAATCAATGTATATTATATCCATATATTTGGCTAAATCAAACTTTCAGGAATTCAGAAATTTCCACTAACACAGATACAGAGGAGCACCAAACTGGTGGCAGAGTGGGATGTGCCCATCAATGCCTCATGCCTCTCCTGCCCAACACCTGAGTGGGAAGTGAGGGATAGGTCCTTGTGGAAGGGGCTTTAGCACATGCAAACCCACAATCACACATAACCTGTGCAGTGTCTCAGGTGGGGCTGCCCCAGGGTTCAAACACACAAGAGGCTGCTGCAGACACATTTCTGCAGCAAGGGGGGCTCAACACCTGGCTGGACTCTGATTGAACCCAGTGCATCCCCAAGCAGGAGCCCTGGGAGCTGTGCTGGCAGCTCTGGTTGTTGGAATCTGTGGTATTGATGATTCTGAGATTGTAGAAAGTCTCTGTCTCTCAGCCCCGCTGCCAAAGCAGAAGCCATAATTGGTCTGTGCTGGTT